GCTGGAGTGGGGAGTGGGCAGGGAGGAAAAAAGGAGCAAGCACCTGGGATGAGCAGGCGCTGAAGTCAGGCCTTGTTGGGGAGGGGAAGCCTGAAGGTGGGCTGGATCTGAGTGGGAGGAGCAGCAGCGAGGCTGTTCCTGGGGAGTGCCCTCAGCCAGCCAGGGCAGAGGTTGTGGTGGACCCAGGGGAGACTGGCTGGCCAGAGCAGAGGGCAGAGGAAGTGAGCACAAGGCCACCCCACTTTGGGGATACTTCTGACTCTTCCCTCACCCGCCCCCAGAGCTGGGGGACCTTCCTCTTGTGCGCCTGGATTTCTCCTGTAACCGTATCTCCCGCATCCCAGTCTCCTTCTGCCGCCTCAGGCACCTGCAGGTCATTCTATTGGACAGCAACCCCCTGCAAAGTCCGCCTGCCCAGGTGAGGGGTCGGCCTGGGGTGGACTGTGGGGACAGGGCTGAGATTGGGCAGGAGTGTGTTGGGGGTCCCTTTGGTAGCCAAGCAGGATCTGGGGTGCCCTCTTGCTTCCCCTTGACTCCTTTCATGCTCCTCTTTACACTTAGATCTGCCTGAAGGGAAAACTTCACATCTTCAAGTACTTGTCAACAGAGTCTGGGCGGCGTGGGGGTGCTGCACTGGGGGATCTGGCCCCTTCCCGCCCCCCGAGTTTCAGTCCCTGGTAAGTCCTGTGTGGGAAGGAAGGAAGCTCCTGGAGCCTTAATGCCCCTTCCTGGCACCAGGGTCCCCATGGCTTCTGGAGGGAGGATGAGGGGTTGCTATCCAGTATAGCACTGACCAGGTCTCCCTGGCTGGTCTCAGCCCAGCTGAGGACTTATTTCCGGGACGTCGGTACGATGGTGGGCTGGACTCAGGCTTCCACAGTGTTGACAGTGGCAGCAAGAGGTGGTCTGGAAATGAGGTAAGTGCCTTCTTTCCAAGGGACATTTGTGATCTCAGCTCTGGGGGAAAATCTGAGCCAAAACCCTTTGCCTTGCACCCCTAAATCTCAGAATGACACATGGTGACTGGAGCTATCCTCTTGCTTCCTTTGCCCAAGTATCGCGGGGAAGGGCTGGCTCAGCAGCCGATCCCAAGGCTCTGGACCCCATGGGTCCCCAATACTATAGAGAGGCTGCCTCCTATGTCTGCATTTCTACATTTACAGTCAACGGATGACTTTTCGGAGCTGTCCTTTCGGATCTCCGAGTTGGCCCGGGAGCCTCGGGGGCCCAGAGAGCGGAAGGAGGATGGCTCTGGTGAGTAGTGGGGTAAGGGGCCCTGAGGCTAAGATGAGTGGACCAGCCTGAAGGCCCCCATCTGCTTGCTGACGTGTCCTGGCTTCTTCAGCTGACGGAGACCCCGAGCAGATTGACTTCATTGACAGCCACGTGCCTGGGGAGGACGAAGAGCGAGGTGCTGCTGAGGTGAGGGGCCAGCCCTTGTCCTTATGTCCTTCTGCTGTGAGAGGAAAGCTGGAGGGAGGAGGGGCCAGTGCAGGCTTGGGGACCAGGCACTCCCTTAGCCCATCCCCTATTCTTTCTTCAGGAGCAGCGGCCACCAGAATTAAGCCCTGTGGCAGGGGACGGGGAGAGGGCATCAAGCAGCAGGTACTCAGCGCCACCTGAGCTGGCACCTCCTCCCTTTACTCCATCTCCCTGCACCCTCTCCTCTTCCCTGAACTTCTCTACCCTTCCCGTCCTGTCTTTGCCCCTCAGGCGAGAAGAACCAGCTGGGGAAGAGCGGCGGCGCCCCGACACCTTGCAGCTATGGCAGGAACGTGAGCGGCGGCAGCAGCAGCAGCAGCAGCAGAGTGGAGTGTGGGGGGCCCCCAAGAAGGACAGGTGTGGGCACAGGCTACTGCCAGGTGGTGGGCCCTGGAAATTAGGGGAGATGAGCCCTCCTGAGCTACTCAGCGTTGGCAGCCTCCTGCCTCACACTGCTGACATCTCCTTCAATTTCTAGTTTTCTGAAGCTGGGGGTCAGGGTTGCTGGTGGAGGTGCTGCTGCCTCGTCCACTCAGGTCACCTACAAGTATGTCCTCCCAGACTTCACCTCCCTGAGCCCTCTCCCTAAACACCCTCTCCCTGATCACCCTCTCTAATTCCCTTTCTGTCTTTCCTCAGCGGCACGCCCAAGTCCAGTGTCACCCAACTGGGAGCTTCAGGGGTGCAGGGGCCCCCCACCCCTGCCCCAGCCCCCACCTCCCAGGAGCCCCTTCCTATATCTAGACCAGGTGGGACAGGGGCTTTGGGAAGAGGATGGGGGCTTGTGTAGGTGAGGGGATGGTTGGTGCCTGGTGGCCTGAGGGAAGAGTGCATCTCACCTGCCCCATTTCCCTGGCTCTGGCCCCCAGCAACAGCACCTGCTCCCCGGTTACTCGGCTCTATTCAGAGACCAAACAGCTTCCTGTTCCGTTCTTCCTCTCAGAGTGGCTCAGGTGGGTCTTCCCTCCCCACTACTAACCCAGTGCTAACCCAGCACTAACGTGGGCTGTTGATCACCCCTTCTGGCCTGGGAGTCCTCTGGTCAATTGTCCCTTTGTGTTGAAAATCCCACAAGCACGGAGGCAGGGGATGTGGGTGCCAGACACTGCGACCCAGCTACAAAGTCTACGGTGGTAGTGGAGACAGGCCACACAATCTCCTTTTCTCTAGGTCCTTCCTCACCAGACTCTGTCTTGAGACCTCGACGATCCCCCCAGCTTGTGGATGAGAAGGAGCTGATGGCTCAGCTGCGCCAGGTAAAACGCGGAATCTGTGTGGGTGGAGCCTGGGCTCAGCATGGCACCTCCTGGAATTTCCTAGCCTCTCTCAATACCCTCTTTGTCCACCCTGGTGCTTTGGCTGAGGATGGGAGAGGCAGGCTGGAGTTCCCTGCTGATCCTGACCTCTCCCCCCATCTCCCCCTGCCTCCCAGGTCCTTGAGTCGCGGCTGCAGCGGCCTTTGCCTGAGGACCTGGCAGAGGCTCTGGCAAATGGCGTCATCCTCTGTCAGCTGGCCAACCAGCTGAGGCCCCGCTCTGTGCCCTTCATTCATGTGCCCTCACCTGCTGTGGTCAGTTGGGGCCCAGGGTGGGAAGTAGGGAGTGGGACAAGGGACTCCTGTGACCCCCTCCCTTACTCTACTCTTTTTCTTTTCTTACACATCCCTAGCCAAAACTCAGTACCCTCAAGTCTCGGAAAAATGTGGAGAGTTTCCTAGAAGCCTGTCGAAAAATGGGGGTGCCTGAGGTATGCGGCGGGGCTGATCTCTACTGTAAAGAGTGGTGGCATCCTGGGCTCAGCTGAGCCCTTTGCATGGATGGCAGGGTTCCATTCACAGGGGGTGTCTGCTTCCCAGAAGGAAGCGCCTGTCCCGCATGGCTCCCTTCTTTGCATGCCTCCCTTCCCTGCACTCTGCATGTTGGCATGGCTCTGGCTCTGGCATGTGAGGGCAGGGGGTGGGAAGGATTGTCTTGCTGCTGCTGCTGACGTCTGCCCTTTGTCCTTGTCCATCTGTCCTACTCCCCCTTCCCAGGCTGACCTGTGCTCGCCCTCGGATCTCCTCCAGGGCACTGCCCAGGGGCTGTGGACCACCCTGGAGGCCGTGAAGCGGGTTGGGGGCAGGCCTCCCCCGCCCTTCTGGCCCCCCTCTGGCCTGGGCGGCTTCATCCTCTTCTACGTGGTCTTCATGCTGCTGCTCTATGTCGTCTACACTCGGCTCCTGGGTTCCTAGGACCTGAAGTCACCCCTCCCACACCACCTCGCCCTTTTTCTATTTATAAGACTCCTGTGCAACCCCTATCCCCACCAGTGGTGCCTTCCGTCCCTACCAAAGACACTAGTGAATCCCCCTCCCCTCACAAACACTGACCTCAGAGGCCCCACTCTGGTGCCCCCAGACCCTGGGCCCCCAGCCTCTGGGTGCCCTCCTGTAGCCCCTCCCCTCTCAAGTGCTGATGGTGCCTTCATACTCTCCACCTAGCCCTGCCCTCTGCTCCTCCAGATGGAATAGACCTTAACCTTCCTACTTTTATTCTCTACACCCCCACCTCCAACCCCTGCTATAGGGGGCTAAATTATCTATATTTTGTAGAGAGAACTCTATATTTGTAGGGGATGCAGGGCCCAGGCTGGGTCCCCGTCTCTTGTATAAATTGTACAGACCGTGGCTGCCTGTGTGTGTGTGTGTGTTTGCGTCTGCTCCTGCTGTGGCCAGGCCCAGTCCTTGCAGTGCCCATTGGGTTCTATGTGCCAGCCTGCCTACTCCAGCATTTCCCTCTGGAAATGACAGGTCTCTCCTTCCCCCTGAGCCTTGGGCCCCTGTGTCATCTCCCTTCTATTTGCTGGCAGCTTCCTTGCATCACATTTGTCCCCAAGTTGTGTCCAAGGTGCCCTTGACCGTCCCCTTCTACATTTTGAAGGGCCATCCTGTCAGCCCCCTTTTACCAGGCTCCTTTAGGGTGTTTCCCCCCCTGCCCTCTGTGACGGGCAGGGAAGCCCAGAGGAGAAGGTATAAAGGGGTATTTAACCTGGGCCCCTTCCCCCCAGGAGTCCCTGTGCCAGCCCCATCACATCCTGGAAGAGGAGGGGGCCCCAGGAAGGGGCCTCCCCTACATCGCTGCTGTCGTCCACGCACTCCTGGAAGTCTTAGGGGTTGAGTTAGGAGCGCTGGGCCCTGAACCGCCTGGGACCCAGGAACAGAGAAGACAGCTGCTCCTGGGCTCTGCTCTTTAGCAAGGACTGGTGAGGGCGGCCTCGGGCCTGGCCCTGTTTATCAGGCACCCCTTGGCCCGAGGGCTTGGAAGCAATCCTGCCCAGCAAGGCACCTGGCTGCCTCTGGGTGTCGTTGAAGGTCTGGGATGGAAGACGGGCCCGGATGTTGTGTCAAGTGCAATAAAGAAGCCGGAAGGTCTCTTAAGTTGTGGCTCAGGTGTATGCGTGTGTGTGTGTCTGCGAACGGAAGCCATGCTTTGCGTTGCGGGGAAGGGGTCGCCTCAACATCCATGTCCAGGTTCTGCAGTGACTTGCTCTGCACCACCCTTTCACACCCGGCTGAAGGCGGCCCGCGCCCTGACCCCACCGCCAGGGGGCGCCCGCGGGACCCCCGGCGGGAGCGTGCACCACGTGGCCCGGAAACGTGCTGGGCGCCGGCGTTGAGGCGAGGCCCTGTGAGGTGGGCGGGTGACCTGGGCTCACAGAGACCCGCAAGGTACAGCTGGCCGCCGAGGGAGGCTGGGACTCCGTGGGAGACAGGGAAGGGGTAAGGCCGGCAGGGCAGGAGGCCCGGGCAGCGCAGGGTGCCAGCATAGACGTGCTGCCCTGCCCTCTCAGAGGCGGCATGTTGCCCTGGCCCTCTCGGCGGTGGGGCGCAGGCGAGGAGCAGGCGCCCGAGGAACACGGCCGCTCCGCAGGCACTGACCCCAGCCAGGCCTGGAACTCTGGAGAGGAAGCCCTGGGGGAGCCAGGAACATCCCCACAGGACCGGTGAGGGGCATGCAGGAGGCGCTTGGGGGAAATTCGACGTGGGGGGGGGTCCCACAGTGAGGAACGCTCAATGAGCCATACCATTTACCAAGTATTTAGACTTGGCGGGGGTTGGTGAGTGGGGGAGGCTATGACTGGAGCACCTCATTACCTTCCCCCCAAGCCCTCAGCCCAGGTCCCCAAGGCCTTTCCAGATCCGGAGAGAGCAGCTGCTGGCCGGGTCCCCCTCAGGCCTGGCTGCTGAGCAGTCCCCAGGAACCCCAGGTAGGTGCCAGGCCTTGCCACTTCTACCCCCAATACTCTTTCACCGACTCCTGAGCCTGTTTTAATCTCTACACATCCTGTTCCCCCCCCCACCCCCAGTTCCCCTTTCACCTCAGATGGCCTGGGAGGTGGCCCCCTCAAGGATGACCCTGCTGGCACCGTGGGACCCCAACTATGAGGCTAAAGCAGGACCTCAGCTGGAGTGGGTGAGTAGGGGGTACCTGTGGCTCTGGCCTGGGGGTGGGGCAGGGATGCCCTGAGGGGAGACTGAAGCTCCACTGATCTTTCCTGACCCTCCACAGGGGCCCAGCTGTGGGTCTGGCGCCTCCTTCTCAGGCCGGACCTTGTGTCATCCCTCCTGGCCGCTGTACGAGGCAGCCTCAGGCAGGGGCTGCAGGCCCCTGGCTCCCACAACAGGACATCAGAATGGCGAGCAGGCGCCTAGGGGTGCAGGTAATTTCCATTGGTCCCCTCGGGTTCAGGACTGATGGTTGTGTGAGCACGGGGAACTGGTTCAGAGCTCCCCCGGGGTGGGAACTCCCAGCCTGTCACCCTAGCAGCTTCTCTTCCCCAGGGTTCCCGGTGATATGCTGTGAAGATGTCTTTCTTTTAGACCCTCTGCTTCCCTGGGGGCAGCGTGTTCCCCTGTACCTGTCTGAGGCCCCTCAACAGGTGAGCACTCTTCCTTCCCTGGCCCCACCCCAGCCTTCATGCGGGGCTTGGAAGGAGACACTTCCCCCTCTTCTCTCCTCAGATGATGGGCTCTCTGAAGCTGCTGCTCCCACCCCCTATCATGTCGCCCTGGGTCCGCCCAGTCCAGTCCCCACGCTGCTCCACTGCCTGGCTCAGTGGGCCTGAGCTGATCGCCCTCAGTGGCCTCTTGCAGATGAGCCAGGGGGAGCCAAGACCCAGCTCCTCCGGCCCCCCAAGGGCTCCCCCACCCCCTGCTAGTCCCCCAGACCCTGTCTCTGATCAGCCAGGCCCCAGTGGCTGCCCTAGCTGTTCTCACTGCACTGACCCATCTCTCCCATGGACCCCAGGCACCCATTAACCATAGCCACTTGTGGGAACCATGGGCTCCCTACTCTTCCAAGCAGGTTTCTATTAATAAAAGTGTTGGTTTGCAAACAGGCTTCTTGTGGAGGGTAGCAGAGTGGGGCACAGAGGTAGGGATGGGGTCTCTTTCTCCATCATGGCTTTGACTGCCCTCCCCTCAAATTCTTGTTACTCGTTGGTCAAGGCACCTTTAATGAGGGGGGGATCCACAGTACAGTCCCTCAGACTGAGTATGTAAGAAGCAAGGACTCCCCATCAGTTTTGCCAGGCCTGGGAGAAGGGAGGATTGTGTGAGCATGTAGCTGGCATTGGGAGAGGCAAATTAGGGAGTAAGGGGGTAGCACATCACTTTTGGGGGGGCACTAAAAGGTGAGATACCTGGTACTTTCATCCTTCTTGTTCTGGGGCCCCAGAAGTTCAGCTCTGGGCTTGCAGGTTAGTTCTTTGCCTTGGAGGAGACACTCAGCAGGCACTGCAGGTGTGTGTGTGGGAGGGTGGTGGTGGGGGGCTGGTCCACGTGGGAATTCTCATAGGAGGCAGGGTGGGGGGGGGCCAAGGCTGACCTGAGACTGTGGACTGATGCTGCAGGAACTGTGTGGGGAAACAGAGGATCGGGGCTTCGGCTGAGAAAGCCCAGAAATTCGTAGGACTTTTTTTTGTTGATAGGGGTTCTAGAATTGTCTCTCTTAAAAGAATCCAACTTCTTGGGGAACCTCCTCCTGAAGATTTCCCAGGCTCCACAGCTGGAAGGGACAGAGTGGGCAGAGGGCTGTAAGGGGCAGCCCAAGAGCCTCTATAGGTCACATGTTCTAGGGGTTGTTGGGGCCTTAGAGCCCCTTAGTCGTGGAAACAGGTGGGAAGGCATTCTTAACTTTGCCCTATTTTCTCTTCCCTGCTTCTGGTCCATCTGGTCAGCTAGACCTGGCGGGCTCTCACCCTTGTCTCTCCATCATTCTGGAACTGGATTCTGGCATAGCTGTGCGTGCTGGCCCCGGGGGCGTCGCCTCGTGCCTCCAGAGGAGGGACCAGGTCCAGGTCAACATAATTCAGGTGGCCATCGAGGGGGTCCAGTGTGCAGTCTGGGGTTGGGTACTTGATGCACACGTATTCCCCCGCTTGCTCGGATAGTGGCTGCAAGCAGGACTGAGCCCCTGCTGTTCCGCAGCTGTCCCCAACGCCCCGATGGGGGTCTTGGAGCCAGTGTCCAGGGTCCCCAGCCCCAGGGTTGTAGGAAAAGGGTAGGGAACTCGAGGAAAAGGACCGTGGCTGAAAGTGGCTCATGGGCATGTATTCAGTGCCCTCCCAACCTTGGCGCGGATGGGAGGGAGCGGCGTTGGCAGCAGCCGGAATGCCTGGGGCTGCCATCACCATGTAGCCACCTGCTTCCTTGCCCTGCATGGTCTCGTAATCACTCCCAGCTCCCATGCATATGTGGCCCCCAACCTGCTCCAACTCCTCGGGATATGAGGCTGCTGCCCCCAGCATTGCCAGGGTCTCTAGGGTTGCATGCTCATTCCTCTCACCCAGGCACACCTGACGGCTCAGGCTGCTTGATGGGGCCTCTGAGGCTGGGGTCTCATGAGGCTGGGGGACAGGTGACCGTCTGGAGGCGCTTGTTGTAGGATCCCTTGGCAGTGGTTCAGCCTGGCCACCCGCACCACCGTCCCCGAGCCGCTTCATGGCGGCCAGAACGGTCTCATGAATGCTTTGGGCCACCACCGTGTCAGGCGCCTGTAGCCACAGCTCCCCGGGACCCGTGGGTGCTGAGCGGCCAAGCTCCAGGAAGAAGAAGGAGTCTGCGTGGCCACAGCGGCGCACGCTGAGCAGGGACAGGCGCAGGGCTGGCGGTAGCGATGCTTGGGTGTCCTTGGAACCTCTGGCCCTGGGCTCCCGCAGCAGGCTCAGTACCCCCGAACCCAGACACAGGCAGTAGCCACCGCTTCCCAGGCCTCGTGTCCGCCCCAGCCCTTTGGGCCGCAGCGTCACAGGCCAGACGTCCTGAAACGGAGCGAGGATCCAGGTCTCGGAGTCCTCATGAAAACAGGGATCTGGAGAGACAATGGGATGGTCACGGAAGGGGGTGAGGGGAGCGGGGGGGGGGGCACTGCTGAGCTGGGAGGTCAGAGTGCCCCGAGAACTGAAAAAGTGTAAACGCTTAATGTTTGAACTTGATTTCGGTAACCTAGGGGAGGGGCAGGCTATGGATAGACCAAATCCACGACCATCCAACCCCCGGCCCCCAGCCCCTCTCTGCCCCGGGCTCTGGCCTCACCTGCGGCAGCGGCGCGCGCCTCCAGCAGGGCGCTGTACCACGCCTGTTGCTCCGTCTCGCTGGCCGCCGCCACACCCAGGCTGCAGTTGCGCGTGTAGAGGACGATCAGGTGGCGCTGGCGCGCGTCCACGCGCTTGCTAATGGTGCACGCGCCCGCCAGGCTCATGCTAAGTTTGGGGGGTGCTCGGCCCGAGAGGAACTTTTTCTCGCTCTCGTAACACTCGAGGCGCGGCGGGTCAGCGCGTAGCACGAAGAAGCGGCGGCGCTGGGACTTCTGCTTCCGCAGGTGGCCGCAGAGCCTCACATCAGCCGGGCAGGCCCAAGGAGGTGGCGGACCCAGGGGCACATCGGTCAACTGGGACTCCGGGGTTGCCGTCGGGCCGCCGCCTCCAGGGTTCATCCCGGACCACAGGCTATAAAATGGCTGGAGGAGCGGCCGAGACCGCTGGGGAAAGGCCAGAAGTGGGGTAGAGGTGGCCGACATCTGTCTTGATATCCAGTGTCTCTCCCCTCCCCCGGACTTGAAGTTTAGAGCAGGGAGTCTGCAGTAGCCCCTCGCTGCGCGCAGCGTGTGCCCCAGTGGCTGCCCGACGGCCTGTGACACCCAGGTCTCCAACGGCCTCAGAGGCTAGACCCTAGCCGGTTCCCCGTGCCTCCTCACCCCTCCCTCCCTCCCTCCCTCCTCCGACCGCTCCGGAGTCCCCACCCCCGCGGGGTTAACCCTCGCGCGACCCGGGCGCTGGACTGCCGGCAATGGAAGCGGAGTTTGAGTTGGGAAGTTTAAGAGAGCCGGCCTCCACCCTACCCCACCCGCTTCGGCAGGGGCGGAGAGTGTGGGGGCATCTCCACTGATTTGAGGTGTCTGTTGGGGAAAACTACCGTGTGAGGCGTATGTGAATGGAACTGTGTCTGTCTTGATCGCGCTGGCAGTGGCATCCGCAGTCCTGGAGATCAGGGCCGGTTAAGTCCGGCCATCCTTAGGGCAACCCCTCCTTCCAGCTCCTGCCATTCCTTACTCCTGCTCTCTCCTTCCAGCACCTGTGTCCCCACTTCCCATCCAGGACTGGTTTTGCACTCTTCCTTCCCAAATAATCCTAGGAGCTGGCCTCTGAACATCGGGGTGGTTCTGATTTCTGAGGAGCTGAAGGTTTAGTTTCTCTGTGGGTCGGTGGGTCTGTGGTGATAAGGTGTCTTGGGATAAATAAACTTCTGGATTGGTCCCTGTGCACAGCCCATCCCACCAGAATCCCAGTCAAGTGGCCACTGGAGGAGACCCTGTGGAGGATGGCACCATCGCTTAGGGGCATTTCCCTCATGCTGCCCCATTGCCCTCAGCCCCTTCTCACCACCACTGTCCAAAAATGCCACCATGGGCCAGCTGATGGCTCTGATCACAGAAGTGCAGACTCTCTGGTGGGGGTACTCCCTTTGCCCCTTGCTTACTGAGAGGTTTGAGATGGAATTGGAATTCACACATTTTTACACCTCACTTCTGATCCTTCCACTGACCAACTCACTTGGGGGAAGATAGCTCTGGTCAGTCAGTGCACACTCTGCAAGACAAACTAGCAGTTGACACAGATGGGGGCCTTAGAGGACCTCATGATATCTCTCATGGCAAGTAAGATACCTAAAAGGGGGAAGCTGAGGGTGGGGAAGGGAAAGAGGGCAACATTTGGCCCCTATTAAAGATGGTATAGGAGCACAGTCAGGTATGGAAGGAGATATAACAAGAGTACTGAAGCAAGGGAACCTTTTTCTGACCAGTCCAAGGGCCAGGACAGCCTGAGCAGGGAGGCAGAGTTTCTCCACTTCCCAGGCCTGGAAGGAAGGGGCTAGAATACTAGAGGAGCCAATGATGCAGTGTGCATGGAAGCTAGGATCTTTGAGAAAGGGATGCCCTGTCTTGATGCCCAGTGTCTCTCCCCTTCTCTTGACTTGAAATTTAGGGCAGGGAGTCTGCAGTGGTCCCTTGAGGTCCTTTTGCTTGACCCAACCAGTATCCTGAGGATGGGCATCCAGACAGCAGGCAGGCAGTACCTGGGGCCTGCTCCAGGTGCCCCCCAGTCAGCCAAAGCCCCACCAAGGAGCAGGAGAGGGGCTGGCAGCTCAGGTGACACAGTGGGGCCATTGGCAGCTGCCACAGCTGATGGGTGTTGGCCAGGGAGGGGCAGGTATGTGATGGATCCATAAGTGGCCACCAAAACATTAAGGTCATAGTCCCCGTGTGGCCTTGATATATGCACCATGTGACAAGTGGCAGAGACACAAAAGCTGTCTGCAGGCCCTTCCCCTTCCTAGTCTGGCTGCTGCCTCAAAGAGCAAGGCACGCGCAGGGCTCATGCACCTGCTCGGCTCCTGGCCTGGAGCCTTACTCCCCAGGCTTGATTTGAAACTACCCACAGGAGGGTCTCTTCATACCTACTCCTTCCCAGTCCCCATCAACTAGACCACCTCGCAGCACCCTAGTCCTGTGAATTCACAGCTGCTGTCATAGAGGGCAGCTCCAGACCACTTCGTGTCATCGAACCCCTAAGTGCTGGGTAAAGATATAAGTAGGAAGCAGCAGGGATCGGAGTGTCTGGGTTCTGGGCAAGCAGCAGTGGTAGATGGTAATCAATGCCAGGTGATTTAGCTTGCCAGGTACCAGGAAAAGCCTGGAGCCAAACAACTGGCCTAATCAGTTGCCCTAGCAACAACACTGCCCTTGGCCTCACCCAGACAAGATTTATTCTAGCCTGTTGCCCTGGTAACTTGAGTTGCTCCCTCGGGAGAGGAAGTGGCAGAACCTCAGCTCTACTCCGTGAGAATTCTTACCCCAAGAAGTGGGGTCCAACTACCAGGTTCAGGGCAGATGTGGGCTCGTGGGATGTGAGCGCTACATTTGAAGTCCCTGTGGAATTATCTTGTTACCCAGGAGAGTAACCTAGAGGGAGGAGGCTGGGGTACTAAGGCCAGGCTGTTCCTGTGTGCCTCTCCCTCCCCCCATCCTGAGTTCCCACTCCTTTCTGGAGGAAGGGGGATGTAGAAACTGTGCCATCCATTTAGCCCTTTCCTTCAGCCCTCCCCACCATGGCTCCAAGGCTTCAATGTGGACAGAATGGAGCTCTTCACAGAGGTCCTGGGGACTGGTTCCTGCTTCCTCACAGGGGCAGCCGCAGGTGACCTGCTGGAGACTGGGACCCAGCCAGAGGACAGCTGTCTGAAAACCATGGTCACAACAATGGTACGTGGGAGGGTGCAGAGACATGAGGTCTTGGTCAGAGACTTGGTGGGAGCCTGGGTGAATCCCTCCAGCCCCATGGTGTTTGTGTAGTGGGGTTCAGACTTGCAGCTACCAGACAGGGCTGTGCAACGATGTCCCAGGGGGTGAGGCAGGAAGAACACAGCCCAGTCATTTAGACTTTTTTTTTTATCAGGCCAGGGATTTTTCCATTCTTTGCCACTCTCCTGGAGAGATGAGGCCTGATGGAAGCTGTTCCAGGCCAAGAGAGGCAGCTGCAGTTCTAGTCCTGGCCTGTGCCTGGAGAACTCTTGATTTTTCTGTCCTGGGGTCTGAAGTTGACCCAGTATAACTTCTCTGACTGGTCATCCAGCTCTTGCCAGTGAGCTGGCTGGAGTCCACGTCGAACAGAGTGACTGGGAGGCAAGGAGGGGGCACTGCAGGGAGGTCCTGGGCTCAGGCACCAAGCAGTAAGGAGATCCCTGGGAAACAGCAGGAGTGTGACTGAAACACACAGTGAGAGGCACTGCAGCTCCTGGTCCTTTAAATCTCACTTCCAAACCTCAGTGTTTTTTGGTTCGGAAGGAGGAGTGGGGGGAGGCAGGTGGTTGGGGTGGGGGTGGGGGGAATAAGAAAAGGCACCTCCCCCTACTATACCACAACAGATATCAGCTCCACCCTACCTTCCCTGGCTCTAAGCAGACAGAAGGCCAGAGATAATCAAGGATGGCAGAGAAAAATACTGGGAGAATAGACAGAACATGATACATGGGGGAAAAAAGGATGGTGGTATACCCTGGGAGATCCCATCAAGAGATGGAGGGTACAGGCTGGGAGAATGGGAACACAGGCACAAGACAGGATGGGTAGAAAGGTGGGGGGCTCATGCCTGCCTGGGCAAATAGTAGCAGCTGGAGGTATTTCCAGAAAAATCCTAAAACAAATCAACTGATAACTCAATCCCCGCCTCTCCTTGCTTTTATGCTGTTAAAAGTCATTGGGTGGAAAGACCCAGAAAAATCCCAAGAATGAGCAGCTAAAGGGTCAGGAGTTCCTGGGCAACATGGAGAAGAGAGGAACCTCTTTTGACCCCAAGGCTGCGTCCTGGGCCTCTCCTCAGCCAGGGAAGGTGTTTAACTCAAGCCATCTGTCTTGTTGCCACACAAACAGCCCAGACACCAGGCTGTTGACACAACATCCTCAGGTGGAAACAGTGTAAGAGTGGCCTACTCTGATCAGGTATACTCCCACCTTTCAGCTGGCATCTCCTCTTTTGCCCACCCCCATTCCCAGTAGGAATCACCCCTTTACTACTGTCACCTAACTCCTGTTCCTGCCAGAAGCAGCCCCTCTCCTGCCATACTCCCCCCCCTCCCCGCACTGCCAACACGGGACTCCAGTTCAGACAGGGGCTGGCTCTGGGAGCAAGAGTCCCGTCGTTGGTCCTATCCTTGGCCAGTGACAGGCAGCATCACAGGCAACATTATCACCAACCCAGGCAGTCATGTTGACTGACACGAGACCCCTCAAGCTGGCCCAAAGCAAGACCACGAGAGCCATTTTCTTTCTTTCAAATACTTTTTCCAACATTGCCCGCAGCAGCTTTGGTGCAGAGATTTGGGGGCCAGGGAGGCACGTGGAAAAAAGGAAAAAAAAATAGCCAGTTGCACAAAGCCTTTCCCTGGAAAAGCCCAGGCTCTGGGGTGGTCAGGACATGTAGCTACCCTCCCCCACCCCGACCCCTTTGAGCTCTGGCTTTGCTGGTCGAGGCACAGATGGGGATTCATCCCATTCCCCATGTAAAAGAGCTGTCTGGGAGAGGGAGAATGGCTGTGTGTGTGTGTGTGTGTGTGTGTGTGTATCTCTGTGTGTGTGTATACATACATACATATATATAATAGGTTATATTATTATAGAAAATTCTCTCTATGTATAAATATAAAACACTGGTATCCAAACATGACACCACAGCTAACTAAAGTGCTTGATAGCAGTTGGGTGTGTCTAAGTATGTTAGGTAAAACTAGCCATCCTGAGTGCCCAGGATGAGGGAGGGAGCTGGGGAAGCAAAAACATGGAGAAAGGGTGTGCTGGCCCAAGTCAGGGCACCAAGGGCACTCTGGCCCCCCAGGGCTTTCTCAGCCTGTCTGATTACTGCCTCACATCAACACCATGCCTCATCCCCACCTTTTGCCTACTCTTCCCACTGTGCTTCTGTCCACGAGAACAGTGTTTGAAAGTTGGGCATGGGGAAGAGTTGTTCCCACAGGGGACACTGGTCAGTCTGTGCCCGCAGCTTCCTCCGCCCACAGGGCTGGGAAGGAAGGGAGCGTTGTGTATGCTGAAGGCAGGAGAGGAGGAGGGTTACTATCATCATAATTAACAACTTGAGAAATAAAACAGCATTGCTTCTCTAGGCCAGGCTCTGCCTTCTCTCCTCCTGGGTCTCCTGCCTGGGTGGGGGCTGGAAGGCAGAAGGGAGGAAGCTGCCCTTTTATCTGCAAGCCCCAAGCAAAGCATTAGCACCTCCACCATCCCCAAGACCCCTATCCTGCAAGACAAGGCCCATTCTGGTCTCAGACCCACAGAAATGCCACAGGCAAGGGGGTCACCAGAACTCCAGGGAGTAGAGGGGCCCCAGAGAGCAGGGAAGAGGCCCCCCAGGACTCAGTGCTACAAGAATGGGTTGGTGGTCGGAGGTTTGGAGGCAAATGGGCTTGATGAGGGTCCAGTCTGGAAAGAAACAACAACCACCAGAAATGGTTAGATTACGGGAGAAAAGCTGGAGGCCACAGAAGAAATGTAGTTCAGGATTCCTTTCTCCCTCAGTATTACTGTGCTGAGGGAAGTAGGAGCTAAGAGGCAAGTGGAAGGGGAGGGGGTGTGGGAGATGACAGGGCCAGAAGAACTGAGGCCCATAAACTACCCCACTCATCCCTGGCTCGGATAAGGTAGAACTTCATGAGGAAGGGGCCTGAATTCCACCCCACATCGTCCTCTTTTCCTGCAAGGGTTCTGTCTCCAAGCCCCAGAGGGGGAGACCATGCCCCACACCATGGTGCACCCGGGCACTCACCATGAAGGGGTTGGTGGAGATGCCCGCTGGCTGGCTCAGTGGCCTCTGTCCCAGCTTGGCTGATCCTAAGTCGCTGAAGGAAGAGCCTGGGAAGCAAGAGCAAACACTCAGCAGACATGAGCCCTGCCCCTCGTGCTGGTGCTGACCAGCCGTCTGCCTCCTTGCAGGGTAGGCACAGCTACATCCTAGGTGGCCAGTGGCAGGGGCCCTTCCTAAAGATGCGAATAAAGGTATGGAGCAGTCATAGGACACAGGCAGGTCTGCTGCTTCCCTGATCCCTCCCCAGTGGTCCAAAATGGAACTAGATCCCATATGTCTGCCTCTCTAATATTCTTGTAGGTACACACATACAGAGCCCCTGAGGGTGGGGAATAAGGGGTGAGGAAGGAAGGCATGGTCTGAATCCCTTACCGTTCTGCTGCTGAGTCATCGAGGTCTGTGGGGAGAACAGCGGTGGCGGGAAGGTGCTGGCAAAGGCCCCGGTGGGTGGCACTGTCTGGGGGAAGCCAGGCCCAGCACTGCTCATCCCAAAGCCGGGTCCTGTGGGGTGAGGGACAGGAGACTCAGGCGAAGTTCTGGAAGGTAGGCTGGAGAACAGTTCTGCAGAAATCCCTCCAAGATGGGGAAATGGGATTGTTTCCCTAACCAGAGGTACCCAGTGGAAATACCCTGAATGAGCCACAGAAGCCTTCAGCTACCATGCAACTCACCAAACCTACCCCTTCCTGCCTGCATGGCTCGTGGCATGGAGAGCACAGTGGTTATAGCATGGGCATGGCACAGAATTGGGGGCAGCTTTTGGCTACTTATTCAACTGCATAAACTAAAGCTAATTGTTAGCTCTTTCTGTGCCTCAGTTCTCTCATCTCTAAAATGGGACAGCCCCTATCTCCTTGGGCTGCTGTGAAAATTAAATAATGGATGTAAAGCATTCAGCAATGGGCTTGCCACATGGGTACCTCTAGCTATTCTTCTTTCTTCATGGCCTCAAGGTTTTTGAGAACAAAACGGGGGGGGGGTCATGAGTTTGAAGAGAGAAAAGCAGAGGTTGAGGAAGGGCAGGGTATACGGTCATGATTTCAGGTGGCTCACCTTGGGATACAGAAGGGAGAGGCTGGGCTCCTAGAGGGACACTGGGGGTCAGGGAAAGGAGAATCACTGCCACTATCGGTCAACACGAAAACAAGCTTCAGAACTGGCTCCCGTAAGTAGCAGTCTGTTTTTTCTAATTCTGAAATTCTGAGTCTGTAATTTGGGTGCTTTTACTTTTTGCCCACTAGGTGGCCTGGAAATTAAAATAGGTCTGACCTGGGCCAGGGAAGGGTGGCCAGGGGGACTTGTTTGGGAGGACCACAACTGCCAGCTGAGGCTGCCTGCCACTTCTCCTGACAGTGTGAGAAGAGGGGTGTAAGGAGAGAGGTGTAGGGGAATTTGCACCATGCAGAGCCAGTCTGGGAGGCTTACCTGTGGCCAAGCCATTGGGCTGGAATGGGTTGGTAGAAGGCAGCTGGGGGTGAGCAGCAGGTGTTGTGAAAGGGTTGGTGAAGGCTGCTCAGGGTGGAATGGGGTAGAGGTGAGAAAACGAGATAGTTATTTTTCTTCTTATTTGCTTAATATTGTGATAACTGAGTCTTCCTCTAAATCTTCCCTCCACTCCCCTCCCTGCCCAGAGCCTCAATTTCTTCTTGGCCTTGGATCCCTTCCCTGGGTCTCCACAGGCAAGACTCACCTCCAAAGGCAAGCCTTGTGCTGCCACCTCCACCAGCTGTGGCTGACTGCAGTGTGTGGCCCTGGCCGGTCATCCCAAAGATGCTGCAACATGGGAAGAAAGGTCGGCATGCACAGCTTCCAGGAGCAAGGGGGCAAGGGACGAGGAGATGGCAAAGCCAGGCCTGCCACACAGGAGGAGCTGGGTGGGCTGGGAAAAGCAAGGTCAGGATTTCTTGGCCAGCTCTCCTGCCCTAAGGCAAACCCCCGATATCTGGGCCTACCTGCTGGGGATAACTCCAGCTGACGCTCCAGGTCCCAGGAGGCCACTCATATCTGTGAGGCTGTTGGGCTGACTGGCAGGTGTAAGAGGAGAGGCACCAAATGGAGTCACCTGGCTGCTCCCTGGGCAGTCATAGGAAATAAAACAGGGAGTGTTGGGTTGAGACAAGATGGAAGGAGCAGAAGAGACAGAGGTGGGGGTGAAGTGGAAGAATGGAGTGATGGCAAGAGAGGCACCATCTGGGTTCTCTAAGCCAGCCCATTCTTCTCATGGATCACCCAGTTCTGGAGGGCTTGTTTCCCACCAAGAATTCCAGGCAACGTGAAATTCAGCTTTTCTCAGTCTCCCTAGTGCTCAAAGCCATCCCCACTGTGAGAAAAGTGGTTCTTCCTCATGTCAGGTCATCGTCCCTCCTGCTCTAGTCTGACTTATACTTCCCATTTTTCCCTCAAGAAATGGAAAAGTCTGTAATTTATTCAAAGCAGCATTTCCATTTACGGATAAATCACCTGAAGGGGCAGGTAGAAAGGGTAGGGGAGGAGCTGTGAAGGGCAGAAAGGTCCAAGAACACTTGGGAGACTCTCATGGAATGTGGAGATGGCACTGGAGGCGATGAGCATAAATCTCCAGCCATCAGCACTCTTTTCCCTCTCCCATCAGAACTGCCTCCTCTGGGGAGTGGGGTGGGGGGGGAGGGGCATCCCGACGCTATGAGCTTAGATCAGGGCTTGGGCACATGGCTCACTGGGCAGGGCCTTCGGCAGGGTTCTCTTGCCCTCCCTGGTCTTCATATCTCTAAAGAAAAAGCACAGAGGGCCAGCCAAGGGGTGCGCTGGCTAGGAGTTGGCTTGGGACGCCAGTGCTGAGCAGCAGGGCCCTGGTTTGGATCCCACATGAGGGCCAGTGATGCTGTGACCTCTACAGCTAAGATGGTGAACAACAGCCCGACTTGGAGCTGGGCTGCCGTGAGGCGATGACGTAGAATGCAGTGGGGCTGGCCGGCAGCGGGCATGAGCTTTCGTGAGCTGCCATGAGCCACCATGAGCAGCTGTCCAATGGCCGGCGAGCGACTGCCTCATCTGGGAAGAGTGCAATGATAATACCAACATGGGCCAGTGAAGAGACATCCTCCACAACTAGACTGAAGAACCAAAGGACAGCAACTTGTCTGCTCCCCTCCCCCAATTCTCCAATAAAATCTTTAAAAAAACATACAAACAAAAAAGAAAAAGCATAGAGAGTAAGAGGGAGTTTTACAAAAGAGCAGGAGTCCTGGAAATCCTAAGCAATCTTGTGTCACAAGAAGAGGCCTGAGGCCCTGTCATTTTATGAAAGCATCTTTATCTCTGTGTCTTCGTCTCATCTGTCAACCATTCTGGGCTGTTGTGAGGGTAAAACAAAACTACAAATAGGGAAAGGCTTTATTTTTATGAGTGCTACAAGATTCATTACTGAAGGGAAACACACTGCACAGTGTCGGTCACAGACCATGCTCAAGAATGAATGAATATTTGAATAGGTAGAGGGAGAAAAACTAGATTCTAGTTGTGGCTCTACCACTTGCTACTGCTGTAACTTTAGAAAACTATTTCTCTCCTAAGCCCAGTTTTCTCTTGCTCTCTTGTGGAGTGGCTGTAAAGACCCTCTGAGGTAAGTGTTTTGAAATCTTTAAAGCATAACACAAATGTGAAGAATTATCATAACCTATGATCTAAGAACTGATTTCCAGGGTCAGAGAAGCAAGACAAGGTCTTGAAGGAAACACGATGGCTGGCTCGGATCATGAACACAAGTGAACAAGACTCTCCCCTGGACCCTCAGCTTCGGCCTTTCCACACCCTCTGCCTTTGCCTTGAACAAGAGGCGCCAACCATGGCCTTGGCTTGCTAACTCCTACTCACCCTTCAGGCTTAACAGAACCATGTCTTCAGATGAACCTTTCCTGAGGCACTAATGTGAATTCAATCCTGGTTTTCCTCATAGCACCTTGTTCTTTTCCTTCATAGCACCTGACATATTTGTAGTGATATATTTTTATTTATTTCTGTATCAACTATGTCCCCGGGACTAGACCAATTTCACTACCAGGAACTTTCTTACAGATCTAACTTCCAAGTGCAAAACATGACATACAGAGTTATTAACTGCAGCACTGTTTAACAGCAAGATTGAATCATCCTAAATGTTCATCAACAGGAGGTCGATTAAATAAATTATGATATAAACACATGTTGGACTATTATACAGCTATAAAATATGAGGAAGCTCTTAATGTACTGATAAAAAAAATCTATCAGTGCTGTTAAATTTTTAAAAATCAAGGAGCAGGGCCGGCCGAGTGGCGCGTTGGTTAGGAGTTGGCTTGGGACACCAGCTCTGAGCAGCAGGGCCCCGGTTCGGATCCCACATGAGGGCTAGTGACGCTGCGCCCTCTACAGCTAAGATGGTGAACAACAGCTTGACCTGGAACTGAGCTACATAGGCTGCCATGGGGCTGCAGTTGGCTCCCACAAGCTACTGTGAGCAGCTGGCAGCTGGTGTGAGCTGCGAAGAGCCACCATGAGCGGCCATCCAGTGGCCAGCAACCGATCTGCCTCACCCGGGAAGAGTGCAGTGATAATACCAACATGGAGGCCAGTGGGCCGGCCGAGTGGCGCGATTGTTAAGAACTGGCTTGGGACGCCAGAGGACCCCGGTTCGGATCCCACATATGAGGGCCAGTGACACTGCCCTCTACAGCTAAGATGCTGAACAACAGCTCAACCTGGAGCTGGGCTGACGTGAGTCGCCGGCGACGGCGTAGGCTGCAGCCCCTGTGGCAGTGGGTTGCCATGGGCTACTGTATGTAGCCAGCAGCCAGCGTGAGCAGCCAGCAGCCGCAGTGAGCGGCCGTCCAGAAGCCAGCAACTGATCTGCCTCACCCAGGAAGAGCGCAATGATGGTGCCAACTTGGGCCAGTGAAGCAACGTCCTCCACAACTAGACTGAAGAACAAAACAACAGCAACTTGTCTGTTCCCCTTCCCCCAATTCCCCAGCACTGTTCCCATCCCCCCAATTCCCCAATAAAAATCTTTAAAAAACAAAACAAAAAAAAACAAAACATGGAGGCCAGTGAAGCAACATCCTCCACAACTAGACTGAAGAACAAAAAGGACAGCAACTTGTCTGTTCCCCTCCCCCAACTCCCCCGTGCGCCCCCCCCACCCCCCAAAAAAACCAAGGAGAACAGTATTTATATTATGGCATAAAATGAGTAAAAATGATGAAAAAACAAAAAATGAGTAAGTGAAGGCCATTGACTCCTCTTCCCAGAGGTATGGCTGTGGAGAGGAGTTGAGACAAGAGACTAGCATGAGTAAGGCGTGGAAACATTTTATAGGATGGGCAACTTTAAGCGTATTTGTGAAAAAAAAGGGAATGTGCCAGCAGAGGTGAAATTCAGATAAGAAAGCTGATGGGACAAAACCCTGCAGAAAGTGGGGAAAGGTGAGGGCGTGTTCTTCACAATGGAAGATACTTTTCTTCTCAGAGACAAGAGGAAGAAGGGAAAGGAAAAGATAAAGACAGGAAACAAGGAAGGAAATGGCAAAGCTGGGTTGGTTCTCAAACCCACGTTGCTCCCTGGCCCTTCAAACCTCAGCCCGGTTTCTTGTCTGTGAAGTTTTGTGCTTTTTTCTGAATGCCCAGATCTGTAATTTGAATCTCCATGCTTTCTTTTCTAAAGGCTTAGGCTGTATTTCTCCAAAACTCCCTTTAAAGGGTATCTGCCCTGTGCTAGGCACTGAGCGTAACTGACTGTGACCAGGCTCTAACCTGGAGGAGCTGAGATGCCAGCAGGGAGTGCCTTCCTGCTGCAAGCTTCCAAAGACGGGCTGCTTCTGCCATGTCAGCACTTAAAGCACAGTGCTCTCCTTGGCCACTCTCCCTCCCCAACCTGGGCTTCCCAGAGGAGCAAGGCTATAAAGCTACTGTGCATACTTGGCCCTCAATCCTCTCCACTCCACTGTCTGTGAGGAAGGCTGGGAAGTCAGCAGGATGGTGTTGAATCTTCTGATTCTCCAGCCCTAGACCGCTCCCTTGCCTGACTTACTCGGGGTACACAGTGCACTGTTCTCACTTAGGTCAGACTCTCAGGCCTGCTCAGGGCCTTTATGTCAGAGAGCTCCCCTCAGTGAGGACCAGGTCCTCTGCCCTCCCAAGCTGGGAGAAGGTCTGTCCTCCCACCTGTAGGCAGTGCTGTGTATCTCCTTGTGGACACCAGAGGGCAGAGCCAGCCCGCCCTCACTCCCTCAGGCGGGGTGGGCGCCCTGCACAGCCAGCGTGTTCTCAGAAAGGAGGCAGCTGCAGGAATACCTGTGCTTGAGTTTTCTTCCTATACACGTCCAGAGCTTTATTCCAGGAAGCTGTATTTGTACACATTCCTTATAAGAATTTCAGAGGGAAAACTGCAGTTTTAGAAACCTCCCCTTTCCATACTCCCACTCAGAAATATAAAAATACAACCAGGCTTGTCAGAAGAGACGTCCACCTCTCACCAAAATCTCCCTACTTCTTACCCAGTTCTTTATGTCACACTCACAAACAACCTCATGAGCATAGTGTGGGGCAAAGTGAATGCACTCTGCCACTTAGCAGCCACTCAGTTTGGGCCAGGCCACTGATCAAGTGGAGCCAGTTTCCTCAACTGCAAAATGGGGAATCTTTCTTTCCTCCTGGAGATAATCTGTGGATGCTCCTAGCAATGGCAAGAGCCTCATAAATGCTGGCTGGCTCTGAATATGGCTGCAGACTCTGCTTTCTGAGATGGTCAGACACTAAAAAAGGTTCACCCCAGGTTCAGCCAGGGATGGCTCTAGGGCCAATGCCTTCTTTCTCTTCTTTGAAGTCTTTAAACCAATCAGTTTTGCTAGGACCCTATTTCTGAACAGACCAATTTATAACAACCTTGTACAGGATGTTTCCTTTTGAGCTCCCATTCACAGGAACAATTCCCTCTTGCTAAATTGAATATCCTTATACCAATTTATATTCTTACCAACAGTACACAAAAGGGCCCATTCCCCCACACAATATTAGCCATTATCAATCTTTAAATTTTTTGCGAATATAATGTGCAAAATTATTCTTATCCTAATTTGTATTTTCCCTGATTAGTCAGGCTGAAGGCATTTTCATATATATTTTTTTCTGGGTATTATCTGCTTGTATCCTTTGTCCATTCTTATTTATAGGCATTTTAAAAAAACACATTATAGCTATTAGCTTTTTGTCTGTTTTCTGTGTTGAAAGTATCTTCTCCCTATTTGTTTCATGCCTTTAAATTTTGTTTAGGACATCTTTTGTCATATAGAATGTGACCAGTGCAATTTCTATTTGTTAGAATTTATGTAGATTTTGTTTCCCACTATATGGTCAAATTATAAAAATGGTTATATGTTTGAACATACATACTATACATTCTGTGTTTTGGTTACAAAGTTCTACTTATATTTATTAGCTCAAACTTGAATTGTTACTCAAATGATTGATGAATTTCCTTCCTTATGTGTCTATCTACTTTATTAATCTTATGAGAGAGTTTACTCTAGTCTCCCTCTCTGTTGATTTATTAGGTCGTCACTGTGTCTAACAGTTTTTGCTTTATGAATTTCAAGGCTACTCTTGAAATTACTTAACTTCAGTAACTTTAAGTCCATAATGTGAGAACTTCTTTTGTTAATTTTTACTGTCATAAAATGTCCAATCAAAACAATTAAAATAAAATAAAAACAAAAGCAAGTAGCCAGTTCATGGTGGCACAGTGGGAAGGTTGTGGGCAGGGTGACAGTCAAAAAGCCTGGGCCCGGGGTTGAGCTCTGCTGCTCTGTGGGTTGCACGTCTAGGAAAACTGCTGAACTGCCTTATCTGTAGAATGGCTAAATTTGAAATGTTTCTTCGGAACCTCCAAACTCTAGGACCGGAAGACCTGAGGTATGCTCCTGCCTGGGGTAGGCTGTGGGGTGGGCAGAATAACTTACCAAAGCTGTAACTTCCAGTTAGCATCCGACTGGCTGGCAGTGAGGGTGGAGAAGGGAAATGGTGGGTAGATGGGTGAAGAGAGAAAGAGAGAGCGTAAGTCACTGGCTTTCCTCAGACATCTGTCTTTACAACCTCCTGCATCCAAGCATGTCCAAAGGAAGAGGGGCAGTCCAAAGGCTCTGAAGACTCAATGCCTGGGTGCTTCGAGAGGGGCTGAATGCTTTAAGGTGGACTTTAGACTCTCTTTCAATCGTATACCATAAGCGTAAACTGCACAACAGTTTACAGGCCTCTGCTCGAAGGATGGGTGAGGACTTCCGGAGACCGCCTCGGACTTTGACCCAGCTCTTGCCCTTTGATTATTCACTCTAGAGAAAAAGTCATGTCCTTTCTCAATTTTTCTAGGACTCAGGTCTCCCATACTTCCCAGTCAGAAATCTCCCAGTACACAACCTCCACAGCTCCTACGGTAATTTTAGCCATTTTCCTTCCATGAAAAAATAGAACAGTAGAACCCCCTCTTCCTTACAAGAATCTCATCAGACTCCTGTCATCCTTTCCTGGAGCTTCTTCTGCTTTATATAGTTCATTAAGTTGGTGCAGATGTGGATGAAGGGTGATGAATGGATGTGGACAACTGGATGCACTAGGAAGCGAGAAAGGAAACTGGTGGGGGCAGAGTTTACCTGTGGGTGTTGGCTGGGCCTGGAATGGGGCTTGGCCAGTAAGAGGAATGCTTCCAAATGCAGAAGAGCTGGGGCTATTGCCAAAGGCATCGAAGTTGGCAAAGCCCCCGTGGGAAGGTGTTTGGCCTATAGGTGAAGGGAATATAAAGGTTATATATATAAAATGTATATTAATCTATACAATACACACTAATTCTAAAAGCCAAGGCCACTTGATGGGACATCTGCCTTTTCACAGGGTCCTCTTCAGAGGGAGATGGCAGGGGCCTGGAGCAGAGACCCAGACACATATGGGGGAAAGGGGATCTCAGAGGCCTCCAGGTTCACTCCCCACCACCTTTGATCCTTACTTCATGAGGCACTAATATTTTTGTCAGGGCCTAGTTTGGGAAGAATCACGTGAAAAATTGTTTTTTGGGTGGGGGTGGAAAAGAGCTTGAAAGGAAAAAAGGGAAACTAGATACCACTTTATTCAACACTCTATTATTGGCTAATGCTGATCTTTAGGAAGAGGGCAGGGGAAATGGAACACATGGTAATCCCCCTGCCCCCATTTTAATAGAGAAAGTAATAAAAAGGTTATTTCCAGTGTTCTAAACAAATGTGCTAGGAGCCCCCAACTCCCGAATGTAATCCCTGCCATACCCATTTGACCCCAACCCTCCCATCACCTCGTTCATGTGAAGAGAGCTAGGGCCAAGTAAAACTTGGCCACCCCAAGGGAGTGAATTCCGTGTGTTATGGAACATACGTTGTAGGAGGGTTCTCATTCCAAGTCCCACTTACCCCCAAAGGCTGGGAATGCAGCAAATGCTGGTACCGCCTGGGGAGCAGCAAAGGGGTCTCCGCCAATGTCAGCCAGCAGGTCAGTACTGGCTTTCTTGACTGAAGAGTGGGGAGGTGGCTGAGCACTCCGGGGCTGGGATGTCCGAGCCTGAGACTGACTGACAGACTTGGAGGAGAAGGCATTACATATAGCACTTGGAATCCCAGACACGACCCAGCCCCTGCCAGGCTCCCCAGGCTGCCCCCAGAGAGGCAAGTGGAGAGAGAAGAGAGTGAGAAGTTGCCCTCGGCTGAGAGGATTCCTGGGCAGGGGTTGCCTTAGCCTCTCTCATACCTAGTTCTTCTGTCTTCTCAGTACACCAGCTCCCAGACCACACATTTTGGAGCACATTAGTCAACGTAACCCTGACATATACAGGGATGTTTCCCAACAGTCCCCCTGAAGCTGTTACCTCCTCATCTTTCCCAGGTACTTGAAGCAGAGTCCCGGCCCCTTCTGTGTTTCCTTGGAGGAATGATCAGGTTTGGAGTTCATACTCTGACTTCCCTAAATACCACTTCCTGTTGGGTTCTTTCTTCCAAAAGATACGAGTCCAAGGTGATAGATGCAAGACATAGGTAACAGCAGGGCTGAGAACCAACTTATAGCTCCTGAACTGTTGTCTGCTAAGTCCAGGAGATTTGATTTAGAAAACTGACACTCCTGTCTCCCAAACCCCAAAATAACCTTGAAGGGCAGATATGAGAGTTACCTGGCTAGAGGTGGAGGCAGCAGCTGAGAGAGATGGCACAGGATCCCCCAGAAGTGTCCGCAGGGGTTTCCCTTCTGGGATGGAGCCCTGAATAGGGGTCGAGGCACTGCCCTTGGTATAAGCGGGCCCCTTAACTTGGTCAGGGGGGACATACCTGCAAGAAAGAATAATTAGGCTGAAAAGAAAGGGGTAAAACCTTGGACCATGCTCAGCTTAGGTGCCTGGGAAAACACAGGTTACAGCAGTCAAAATCCTTTTTCATTTTTCCCTACTAATTCTCCTTTTTGAACTGAAGGGAATTTAGCAATGCAACAAATTTCTGCCTATCTTGAGCTTCCCCTTTACTGTCAGATGCTCCTTTTTTTTTTTTCTGCAGGAATGTTTAGTTTGCTCTGGCTTGTGCCTATTATTCCCTCCTCTTTCTGACACCATCTGGGTTTTAAGCAATAACACCTGCAATAATGCTGACAGATGATCCTGTTTCCCAACTTCATATTCAAGGTCCCCCCTTTTATTTCCTGGGCGTTTCTTCAGATTCCTCCTTCTCAGTCCCATAGAAAAAGTTCCTGCCACCTCACCTTCTAAGTTCTCATAACTCTTCTGCCAGCTCCTGCTATTTCTGATAAAGCCCCTCCCACTATAGTGTATGTGGTCTCTATTCTGGAAGAATCTTCTGGACATCCCCAGGAGGGACTCCAAAATGCTGCTTGATTCACATCAATCTCCTTGCTCTCTGCATTCTCTTCTCCACCCTATAGTTACCCCTCAACATGCACATACCCCAGAAATCAAACAATAAGAAGTGACACCTGGGGAGAGAAAAGGCAAGAGAGAACAGAGATGCTGTTTTCCTGAAAAGGAAAACATATAAATCATGAATGAAATGATGGGCTAAAAGCATAAAGCTATATAGGACATATGTTTCCAGCCACCTCTCTCCATATATGACATTGGCTATAAAAACTAACCCACACCCCAACAAGGCCTAGTTCCCCCCTCCAATCAGTCTACTGTCTCCCCAAAAGAGGGGACATTAAATCTGCAAGGTTAGTGACCGAGAACAAGTTGTCCTTTCATCTAGTTTTATGATTTTGAAGTCAGAATTTAACTAGCTCTAACTGCATCTGAGTAGAACAAACTCAACCCAAGTCTAGCTTTTGAGAGAAGCCCCAATTCAACTCTGGAAACTGGACTGTCAGATGAAATATGTCGTGGACACATGTCTCCATAGCAATCTCCTTCTTTTTCCTTACCATCTCTTCTTCTCATATTTTTCCTGGAGAAACTCCTTCACCTTCTGAGGATCCCTGGAGTCTGGTATTAAAGATGTCCGAGCATCAAAAAGACCCAGCCAAATCTTCCTGCAAACCTAATGGAATGGAATTAGGTGACAGAGGACTTGGGGTAGAAAGATGAATGGGAATGATACCACATCCAATTTATTCATCAATAAATATTTATCGATCATGGACACAGTGTGAAGATCTGGGTATACCTACAAAACAGACACGATCCCTGTCCTCACAGAGTTATCATCTAATGGGGAGGTCACGCTTTAGATCAATAAAAATAAATTTATAATTACACATTGTGACACATCTTAGAAAACAGAGGGCCGCAAGAATTACGGGGAACTAAATTTGGATGGAGGTGGGGTCAGGGACAATTTTCAGAGCTGTGGCTTCCAGTAAGAATACCCTCTAAGTCAGTCAATCGCCCGTAAGCTAGGAGTACTGCTAACACCAAGAATGGTATCTTCCCGCCAGCAGATTTGGCTGAGGAAGGGGTTTAACTCACTGTCAAGTAAATGACATGGACTTAAACCTGGGTTTCCAAGGCTCAAGTCAGCTCCTGGGCTCAGAGGGGCCAGCCTGATCAACTCTAAATCCTCATCAAGGTAGAACTCTACCCATTTTCCCCTCGAATACCCAGGGGCAGCCCCCTGCAGAGATTTTGCCCCTTTCCCTGATTCCTCCAACAAAAGGCCCAGACAAACCACAATTTGTATAACTAAGATTCTGTAAATATACAAATATACATAAGATGTTTTACATACAAAAACAGAGAAATTTGACCAGAAAAGAAAACTGCAGGGTTTTAATTTTGAGGCAAAGTTCCCCAGCAGATAAGGCAACTACAGCCTGTAACAGTCCATCAGTGGTAGCTCACCTCGTTTCCACGGGATTGCAGGAACAGTACTTCAGACTCAGTGAAAGTTGTCATGGAGATGGACTTGACTCTATGAGGGGGATTCAGGCCTCTCCTGTGGGAGAGAAATAGAAAGAGGAGTATAATGCAGTTAGCACTGCAGGCCTGTTTATGCAAGGAGGAGAAGGGAGAAAGGATATGACAGCACATAAATTAAGCTCAGGTAGAACTCCCTAATTCAAGGAAAGAAGGGAAGCAAAATGTTTTGGAGGCTTCCAATAAGAGACAAGGGCAACAGTACAGGAATATATTGTGATTCCAGTCATTCTGGAGAGGAAGGTGGAGACTGCCCACCCAGAAACCTCCTCTACCTTAGCTCAGACCCCAACAGTTCAGTGTTCAGCCTCCAGGCTGAGGGGGTGCTTCTGAGAACTCGGATGTGCAATGACTTACCATTTCCTGTTTTATCGCTGTTTTAGATCTGCAGCACATCCTCAAGGTCCCACAGCCCGCCCATGAGACACAAATCCCTCAAGAATGAGGGAAGGCAAAAATGAAGGCCCATGACTATTCTTGATAATACTAAAAAAGATAAGATTTGGAGACAAAAAGCAAGGTCCCTCCTCTTGTCTACACAGAAGGTTGGCATGGTGGTAGGGACGGAAGAGATCTCTGGAAAAGAAATATTCTGCACTTTCTCATTTCTAGATCTTTCAGTGAAGCAGGAGGAAGTCAGGTTCAACAGTGAGATATGAGATTGGAATGAGTCAGGAACATACATCCTGTAGCAATGCTTTTGTACTAGCTCTGTCTGTTCTGTTAACTCCCTGGGAGTCCAGTTCTGCCCACAGAAGCCCTGTGGAGATTACAGCAGAGAAGAAGGCTTTCTTGCTACCCTCCTCAACTGCCCTCCAGAATGTTCTAACAGGGGAAACTTGGGGTTAAGCCAGGCAGGGTTTCGATAGATCCCCCTTTCCTTATACCTTAAGTTTGACTCTGGACTAGACCTCTTGCCCTCATCATATTAAAACAAAACTAGCTGAACCAAAACAAATAAACTAGACCCTGGGATCAGGGGGTAAAAGACCACAGGCACATGCAGGAAAGATGGTCTCAACTGATGAGGCCTCTTCAGACCTTTACTCTCCTGGAAAAAAATGAGTGAATCAAGATGTGAAAATAAAAGTACTATAACTCTAGAAGAGGTTCCTGGTTGATGCCCTCAGGAAAGCAAAAGGAGAAGGAAGAGATAACAAAATTCACAAAATGGAAATACCAAGAAAAACGTGGGGAAAACACATATTCACACTTACAGGTGTACACACAGAATAAAAGTGCCCCTGCCAAGTCTGGAAGAACGGCAGTTTCAGGTTATTGTAAGTGAAGGCGGCAGGGAGGGGGGACAGGTGACACAGTACAGAGTGAACAGTAAAGGGCACGTGCCCTTTTGGATGATTAATTACTGATTACGGATTCTAACAAAGGACAGGACACTGAGGACATTTTCAGCAATTCTGTTGCTAGACTTTTAAGAAAAGGGTCTCAAAACACCCCTTTAAAAAACAAGCAATATCAAAGAGGACCGATGCCCCTAGGAAAGATAAGAGCAGGGAAAACCAAAAGCGAGGCTTTGTTACTACATGTCGAATAGTAGCTCTTAAACTTGATCTGGAGGCTCTGCTGATCACATTTCAGAGACATTCCAGTTTTCGTTCCTAAAGCCTCTTTTACTAATGGCTTGGTTTTGTTTTGTTTTTAAGTCCAGACAGCCTGCTTCTATACTCCTTCCCTTCCCCTTTCTTACCTTAACCAGACCCTTCCCCCTCAGAATGCCAGATCTTTCTGAGGTCTAGCCAGAGCAGACCTCTTTGACCCTATGACCTAGTCCTCGTCACCTCTTAATAACAAATATTTACTTTGACAAAACACAAGGTATTGTGGTAGGCACTTTGGGGGATACAAAAATTATAGGATCCAGTCCTTGATCACAGGATGCTGGCATATAAGAAGGACCCAGGGAGCCTGGACAAGGGTACTTCTCAATGCAGTAGGGTGCTATTTAGGTACACAGGCCAATCAGGGAGAATGTGGCACCAGGATGCAGCAGTGGGGGAAGAGAAATGGTCATGGGAAAAGTAAAAATGCATCATGTTTACACTAGAAAAACAGACTCTAAGCCTATCACAAAAAGGTCATTGACATTTCCGGAAAGGACAACCAGGAACTGTTAACAAAGTATAAACAGGGAGGTGTGCTTCCTTATAGGGGGAGGGGAGGGACTTAACCCACACATCAATCTAGAGGGGATATTTAGAACAGAACTTCCTACGGCTGAGGTTGAACTGAAGGGTTTTTTTGGGGGGGAGGGAGAGGGACAGAGAGACAGGATGAAGGGGAGGTGGAGAAAATAAGTGATTTAGGTGCTTTGGGCCAAATGAATCTGATGGAACAGGATATCTCCATAGCACAGTACAAAAAGCATTGCTTTGACCTTGATGTGTATAGACTGGGTTATGTACTATAACCAGAGCCAGTTTGGGGGAAGAGAAAATTCTCTACAAGGCAACACAACACTGTACAGCTCAGGAAGAGAACCTAGTTACATGGCTTATGAATCAGAGAATTTGTTTCTGAATCAGAGAGGCCACTGCTGGCTGAGAAAAGCAGTTTAGAAACAAGAGCCCCTCCCCTCCAGTAGATGACATCAAGTGGTCTAGGAGTGTTGCTTTTTGTTTTGTACATACCATTGTCATACAATGGGCCAGATGTGAGTCACTAGCCTGAAATCAAACAGACCCAATTCTCCAACTTGTACCTAGTCTCCCCAAATTAACTCTCAGGTTCTCCCCAAAAGAAGTGAGAGCTAGAAGGAGGTACTGCCCCTCAGTCAGCACAGCAAATCCATTCTGTTATTTCTGAACAGGAGGTGCTGAGGAAATACAGAGATAAATTTATTTGCCCAGAATAATACAAGTTTTTCCAAATGAAAGCAAGTACATTAGTAGGATACAAGCCTTCAGCCCAATCATGATGTCTTTTTCCATTTCAGTTTCTTTTTCACCGAAATGCACCTAAATGACATTTGAAGTACTCTGAATCACTCTTTGAAGTACTCTGAATTACTTGGCAACTAACTTGCAGAGATCCTAAAGTCTGCCCAATTCTTTCTTAGCTTTTCTCTCCCCTCCCTCTATTAAGCACCCTACTATTTCTACAAATACCATGCCTGTTGTTTCTCTGTGGTCATCACCCTCAGAGTGGCCCACATTTTGTTTCTATCTTGCTTCATAAAAGCTTCAAACCTGCTCAGCTGCTCAGATAAGAAGGTTCTGCCAGGTCAACAATGGAAAAAAACAGTTCCACCCAGCCACCCGAGTTCTTTCATTTGTGCCAAATCTTAACTTGGGAATTCCTTACCTCTGAATATTTGTGTTCAAATTCATACAACCCAGACTGTGTTTCTTTGCTCCTGGGATTCCACTCCTTTGCCTCTGAGCAGGGTTTAGTTAACCAGTTCAGTTCTTATCTTGAACTCACAACATCACCAAGAAGAGTCCCTATTAGAGACTCTCAACAGTTCCTAATAGGAAGGTTCGCCTATTACCCTGCTCCAGGGTTAATTTCACTAATTTTTAGGAACCGTCTTCCTAATCTGAATTCCCTGCTTCAACCCATTTCCTGTTGTTGTTCCTCAGGGACAATGATAAACAGCTGTCCTCTATGTAAAATCATGATATTACCAGCTGCCCTCCTCTTCAGGCTCAAGGTCAATCCTTTAACATTTTTTTCCCTTTCTTTTCATCCCTTTGGTAATTTATTATTTTCTTAGGGGCTTTTCACACTGTCTAATGCCCCCCACCTGCCACCCCATGATAAAGTGCTTAAGTCTGGAATTTATATGAGACTCTGTCCACCTCTGCCCAGCAGAGGTGAATACCAAAGGTGAGGTGGGAGGGGATAGAGGGATGGGACTAAAATAAGGGCAAGGTACATGTCTATCTCTCCAACCCAGACAGATGGAAAAGTACTGAATTATTGAATAACATACTACACCTTTCCCTCCATGGAGATAAAAGTGCTTCAATAAGGAGCCACTACTAGCAGGCCAGACAGGGAAATTAAGGGACAAAGACGGTAGGAACTTGTCACAAATAAAGAGCTGTCTGTAAAGCACATCTCTTGACACTCAGCTAAAAGCTCTGTCCTCCCTAATCCTGACTTAATCCCATCACCAGTAAAACTGTGCAGAAGTAGAAGAGACAAGTATCCACTACTGAGACCTGAAGGAAGATAGATTAAAGGATGGATCCAAACAGCCAGGTTGGGGAAGCATAGCACATGCTTTCTGAAAAAACTTGGTGTCAAAGGTAATGCCCATCCCTGATGTCAATGAGATCTCAGGCCTCAGCATCTGTTTTCTTTCTAAAGAAAAGCGGTTTATTCATGAGGCATGCAAGCAAACAGAGCAAGAAAGAATATTTAAGGCACTGCTTTGGAAATAAATCCTTTTTAGCAGTAATTTTTACCCCAACCTAGCTTCAAATGGCAGATTCATCCTCTAGTAGAAGAGTTAGAAATATAACTAACCAAACACGCACATGTATATATTGGGTAAATTAAAAGGTTCCATATCCAGGTTAAGGAAATTAGGTATTGGAAGAAAACCAAATGAATAAGAACTGGGTCAAATTTGGGACCTACAATTGTGGCAGTATGTACATAAATTTAGAAACAGCAGAAACTAAGCCTCTTTCTCAATCCTTCACACCAACGCTGTGGGTTTTTGCTACAGCTGAGAAGTCTTTCTTATTAAAAAAGAAAGATCGAGAATGAGCTCACATATGCAGAAGTGAAGGCATAGTCATACCCACCCACCAATATTAAAATCTGAATTTTTCTTCAGATCTTGGGAAATTCAACTTTGGCTGGAACAGTCAACTTTGCTCTACATCAGCCAATCTGGCCAGCTGGGAACTCTGGTAATTATCATCATTGCCTCCAGAATACTTCATCCCCCTAAGAAACAGTCATATTTGTAACACTCTCAACAGAAAACTGGATTTCAAAATACAAAACCAATCCTGCTGTTTCCTTTCTCTGGCTGTGGTGCTGTGCTAACTTTGGTACTTCAATTCCTGCCCACCCCCTCCCCCCATCTCCTCTTCATTTTAACAAAGAATATTTCTTCTCTTTTCATCATCATAGCTCAATGAGTTCCTACCACTCTCTAGCCCATGCTGAGCTTTATTTTACTTCATTGCATTTATCACTACCTGCAAATATATATATTTAATGATAGAGTCCATGGCCTCCACTAGGATGTAAGCTACATGAAGATGGGTACTTTGTCAGTTTTGTTCACTACCATATCGCCAGTGCCTAAAACAGTATCTGGGGCTTGACAGACACTCAATAAATATTTGTTGACTGACTTAATGTGTGTGAAGGCTGTTGGCCTACTACAATTTTCACTTCCCAGTACCACAAAATCCTAATCTATGGGCAATCAACCATGTGGATTTAAGATGTTAACTGCTGTAATGTGTCACTGTGGAGCCATGCCTCTCCATCGCCTGCTGGACTGTGTGTGCTCCCTCACTCTGCAGCCGGCAATAAACATGCCCCATGCCCACACATTCTGCCTAAGGCCCACCTGCCAACTCCAAGCCCATCCCACCATACATCAAAGGACAAAGGTAATACTTCGTTAAGACCCCTTTTAAAAGCTTTATGTGCCTTGCTCTAGTCTGTGCTAATTAGAACTCCAATTAACAAATGAGAAGTACCACCAGACCCCAGAATCAGGGAAACTACAGCTTTCTTGTAGAGTTTCTTCTGATATTTCTCTCTTTATAATCTCAACATGCCTTCAGTTCAGCTTCATTTATTGGCCCAGCCTCTTCTTGATCCTTTATTCTACTCTCACTTCCTGTTAACAAAGGGTTGGCCTAGCTTCTCATTTCCCAACCACCAAAATGTGTTCTCTACAGTCTACCACCTCGAGAACCACTCTGAGTGATTCTCCTAATGCTTTACCAAAATACTAAGCAAAACTGTCCTTTTTTAGAAACTTTTGAAACTAAAAAAAAAAGGGGCTGGTAGATTCCTACCACTTGTTCCCACTGGAGCTTAATAAGAAGCTAAGCCCCTAGTTTGAGGTACATACACCCGAGACAGAGCCAGGCCTCTTGGGGTATTTCTCTGTTAAATTAATCCTTAGGCCATAGTCACCTCCACCCAGTGTAGCTCCAGATCACAGGTGTTTGACTTCTCATTAATGGGATCAACAACAATGACCACAGGGAAAAGTGGTCAAGTTCTGCAAATTGTGCACTGATATTTAAGGAGTTAACTATCCCAACAAAAGAAACCAGGTTTTTAATGTGTCCCAGATCTCTTGGCCCTCCTGTCCTGACTGAAAGATATTCATTATAGAAGGGAAATGTTATCAATGGGATACTTTAAACCAAGATCTATAAAATAATGAAAATGATGTCAGCACTTTCAATTTATTCAGCATTTTATCTTTCATTCCATCACAGCTAACCATGGGAATGAATTAACACTGTTTCTTAACATTTTCTTCCTAGGACCTAGACTCTGATATAACAACTTAACTCCCTGCTTCCCTTTACTTTTCTCCAGACTCTACAATCAGATTTCCCTTTTCCTAACAAGATTTTCAGGAATCTGCTTTCTCATTCCACTTTGTGCTATTCATATTCCTGAACTTTGCTGCTTCTCTTCTCAGAGTACTTATCCCAGTCTCAAGTCTATCCTTTTGCTTCATTTGAGTCTCTATCTCAACTTCTGACAGACACATTCCTGTTTGGGTTCTTTCTAAATTATTGTCCCAAGGGCCACAGTGGTTTTTACTTAGGCCAAAGTCAAGTCCCTTCTACAGCACATGAGTGAAGTTGATCAGAACATAGAAGTTTGGCAAAGTAGGTAAAAACTGAATAGAAAAAATAATCCTAAACTGTATCTTAGAAGACTTGGATCCTCATTTCTGGTCTGTCATGATCATAACTAATATCAAACAACAAATGCTGAAAACAGCAAGCTCCATATGGCATTAGATAAGTGACTGAACCTCTCTTTGCTTCTGTTCTCCCATCTGTCAAGCAAGAACAATACTGTTCCCTCCTTGGCTCCTAAAGGTGTAAAAAGAAACAAGGAAAGTGCTCCTTGTTAAAAACAAAGCCGACAACCAACCAAACAAGCCAATGTATTAAAATAATACTAAAAAACAGTAAAAATAAACCCCTTGATAAACATAAAAAAAAATAGAGCTACAGGCTTGGTATCAAATGTTAATCATGCATCTAACCAAATAATTCCCTAAAGGGAAAAAGAAATTTACTATATAACCAGAAATCTGGGCTAGAATGTGGTTCTAAATTAGCTCAGGCATGACCAAATACAGTGCAAGTGCCAAGTGAAGCGTATCAGATTATACAACCCCCAATCTAGAAAGAGTTGCCAGATGCTACTACTAGGATCAAGCCATGGCAACAAGGAGCTTAAAGATGTAAATTTTTACACTTAAGGATGGCTCATCCAGATCCCCAAACCTTTGGAAAAGTTAAGCTCTCTAACAAGGCAACCCATCAGCTCTCATCGCTTAGATTCGTAAGATATCTACTTCTGGGTAGCATTTCAAAACCCTGCCAAGATTAGGATCTGCATCTGAACACTGGAACATGGCTCCTGACCTGCCACTATCTCTGTGCTGTCAACCTGGGTTAGTTTACCTATTTTAACTTGGCTTCTCCATCTCACACTCCAGGATGGGCACAAGCAGGAAGGAAGGTACTCACTCCTTCATCTTGAGCCCAGTCTGCCCTACCTCTTTCCTTTTTGCCCTCCATCTACATTAAGTTCCCTTTCAAGGTGTTATGTCATTCTCTGGCCTTTTAAATCTCTAATCCCCTCCCCTCAGTTCCCTTCCATTTTCCCCACTTTCGGTTCTCCTCGCCTCCCTTAGGGTGTTTCTCCATTCCCCTCCGGTGTCCTTCCTTCCTATGAAACGCGACTCCAATCATGCGTCTTGACTCTCTCGCCCCTTTTCCTTCACCACGACACCTCTGCATTACACAACCCTCTCACCACCCTTGGCGTGTCCCTCCAGGCCTTCCCGCGTCCCCTACCTCGGCTCTGTCCCTACGCCCCTTATCCCTGCTGTCCCCTACGCCGACTCTCCGCCACACCTTCCCAGTCCTCCCTCCGCGCCGGTCCACTCACAGGAGGCCGGAGCAGGTGGTGCAGACGAAGCTGCCCACGGTGATATCCACGTAGGTGACCCCGCGTTGGGCGCACTCGAAGCAGTGGCGATTCCCGGCCTGGCTGCAGCCGCCCAGCTCCCGCACCCGGCGACACCACACCTCCGAGGCCGCCTCCGCCTCCGCCTTTCCCCCGCCAACCCCGCCACCTGGCCCTGGGCCCTTTTTCGCCGCCATCACCATGGCTGCCCCACTCTCTCTGACCCGCCTCCCCGCAAGTCAGCAATTGCCCCTTAAGTCACTGTCCACTCTCCGCCTCCTCAGTCGCCTCCGCACGCCCGGTTCCCCTGACAGAAGCTAGGGAGCCCGCAGCGTCCGCTCGAGACTCCTCAACCCCCAAGCCTCACCTATCCTGCTCAGTGATTGGCTAGTCTCCTCACTCTGATTGGCTCGACATTGGACAGCCTCAAGTTGCGGAGCTGCCAATGCCACGCCTCATTGCCTTCAGACCTCAGGCCTCTCCCATTGGCCCGCAGAGAACTGGCTGCAAGAACTGTGCGTGCCCTCTCCTTGTCCCCGCCCCCTCTCGCCACCGCCTTCACGGCGGCCCGCCTTCCAGATTCGATTGGTGAATTCTCGGAATGTAGGCTCCGACGCTAACTCTGATTGGCTGTCGAGGCTGCAAAGTTAGTGCGCAAGAAAGAGTAGGTGTCCCACGTGTGCGTAGCTCTGGTTCTTCCGTCTGATGATGTTTATTCCCGCTAAATTTCAAAGGCCTTATCTCAGCTAGACTGCAGAGGGGCAAGCAAAGAAGAGAGGTGGCCATATGAGGGATTAAGGAGAAGAGAAAAAAGAAGGAACTCTTAGAGGAAGGGAGGAAGAAGAAGAGGGAGTGCTTTACAAATGCTATTTTACTTACTCTTACCCTATGCCATAGGAAATCGCACTTTACAGAGAGTCTTAATGTTATACAATTTGTGGTAGGTCACACAACTGGTATGTGGCCCAGCCAGGATTCTAATCTGGGTTGTCTGACTTTAGAGCTGCTTTTAATCACCACACTATCCATGGAATAGTATTTGACCATTCATTTGACAAACACGGAATGTCTACTAGGTTTCAGGCTCTGTTCTAGACAATCAAGCAAAACTCCCATCTTCATGATTCTTACATTCTAGCAAGGGGAGGCTGACAATAAACAAGTTTTAAAAATCATCAGGTAGTGATAAGTTCTATGCAGATAATTAAAATAAGGTATTGTAAAAGAGAGTGACTTGTTGGGTATTTTAGACTGTTCAGAGGAACAATGTCTAAAGCAGTGATATTTAAATTGAGACCTGAATAATGAAAAGGAGTCAGCCATGAGGAGATCTGAGGAGAAGCAAGCCAGGAAGAGGTAAAAGCAGGTGCAAAAGCTCTAAAGCATGAAGAGGCTTGGTGTGTTGAAGAAGCAAAAAAAAAAAAAAAAAAAAAAAAAAAAAAGCCAGAGTGACTGGAGCTTAGTGAGAGGAAAGTGGAGGGATTATACTGGAGTGGGACCACATCATGTAAAACCTTCTGGACTTTGGTAAGCAGTTTGGATTTTCTTCTAAGTGTGATGGGGAGCGGTATTAGTTAGAATTACATCCCACTGTGATGAAAACCAAAAATAATTGGGGCTTAAACAAGATGAAGTTTATTTCTCTCTTATGTAAAAGTCTAGGTAGGCGGTCCAGGGCTGGTGGGTTGGTCCATTATGTCAGGGACCCAGACTCCTTCTATGTTATTGCTCCATAATGCATTACCTTCACTCATGATCTATTCTAACTTCGGCCATGTGTCTGTTACAGCAGCAGGAAGAGCCTGCTCTTTTTTTTTTTAATAGATTTTTTTTTTAAATTGGGAAATTGGGGGAGGGGAACAACGTTGGGGAATCAGGGAAGGGGAACAGACAAGTTGCTGTCCTTTTTTTCTTCAGCCTAGGTGTGGAGGACGTTGTTTCACTGGCCCATGTTGGTATTATCATTGCGCTCTTCCCCGGTGAGGTAGTTGCTCACCAGCCCTTGGACGGCTGCTCACGGTGGCTCACGGTGGCTCAAAGCAGCTCACAAAAGTGCAAGCCAGAGGCGTGGCCAGCCCCACTACAGCCTACGCTGTCGCCAGCGACTCACGGCAGCCCAGCTCCAGGTCGAGCTGTTGTTCACCATCTTAGCTGTAGAGGGCAGCGTCACTGGCCCTCATGTGGGATCCGAACCTGGGCCCTGCTGCTCAGAGCCGGTGTCCCAAGCCAACTCCTAACCAATGCGCCACTCTGCCCACCCAAGCCTGCTCTTTTTAAGGACATGCCAGGAAACTGCACACAACCTAATTGGTCAGAACTCCATCACATGATCAGACCTAAGTGTAAGGAGGGATTCTGGAAAATATATTCTTTATTTTGGGCCTCCATGTGCTCACCTAAACTTCAGAGGTTCCATTACTGAGGTAGAAGAAGAGAAAGGATGTTAGGATAAAACCAGTCTCAGCCACAGAAGCCATTGGAAGGATTGTAGCAGGGGCAAGACATGATCTGATTTTCAGTTTTGAAAAAAATCACTCTGTCTTTTATAGGGGAAATGATTATAGGTGGGTGAGATTAGAATTAGGGCAATTAGGAAGTGAATTTAGCAGTCCAGGTGAAAGATAATGGTGGCATAGACCAGGGTGGTAGCAGAGGGCTAGAGAGAAATGGATTGATTCAGGGAATGTTTGGAGGTAAAATCCACAGGACTTGTTAATGGATTACATGTGGGAGGTGAGAGAAAGAGGAATCAAAGGCAACCTCTGTAGAGAAGCGCCATCCAATAAAACTGTCTGTGATGATGGAAATGCTCCGTATCTGACTGTCTAATATGGTCGCTACTAGCTACATGTGGCTATTGAGCACTTGAAATGAGACTAGTAAAACTGAGAACCAGAAATTTTTATTTTACTTTATTTTAATTAAATAAAATTTAAATTTAAATAGCCACACATGGTTACTGACTACCATATTGGATTTTTTTTTTAAACAACTGGGTGGCTTATGGTGCCATTTATTGGAAAAGGGTAGACTGTAGCAAGAGTAGGTTAGAGGATGCTGATAGCCAGAAATTAGTAGTTTTGCTTTGGACATGTTGATTTGAGACCCTTGGGAGGCCTCCAAGGAGTTGATCAAATAGGCAGGTAGATACAGAATTGCAGGAGGTTTAGGAGTCATCAGTATAGGGGAGTTGTTTAAGGCCATGGGACAGGGTGAGATTGCTTAGGTACCGCATGTAGACAGAGAAGACGGCCCAGAATTAAGCCCTGGGCACTCCAATGTGTACTTTGTTTCACCTCTCTAGTTATCACAGCCACAAATGCACTTTAACATCCCTAAAAGGAGGCAACATCAAGTCACATCCAGATATGCAAATATGACATCTCAGATCACTTTAAACGTTCCTTCTAAGTTTCAGAGTTAACAGTTTCCAAGTGCTGCCCATTCCTCATATGGTTTCTCATTAGCCAAGGGTTCTTTCTTACTATCCTGAAACCTTGAAAAAATTGGTAAATTTAGCTACCACCAAACCCTGATGTATACAATAGTGGGGGAGGGAAATTAGAATGTTAATATGGATTGTGATAGTTTTCTGTTAATTTGTACCACTTGGTGTGGTGGTGCAAGGAGGCCCCCACCTCTGCCCCTCCCAGGCCTTATCGGGGAGTAACCCTGTTTCACCCTTCGTAATCGGGGGAGCACAGCTAGCACAGGAACACCCTTTTCTGTCATTACCCTAGTGGCAGGAGGAATCCCAAATGGCCAGGTGGAACGCTTATTGGTTCCCTGGTGAAAACATCTCACCCTGGGGCAGTTAAGTGAACAGATCATGAGTGACTTGGGGGATGGAAAGCAAATATTTTTAGAGGAAAATAGTAAAAGCTGTCACTCTCCACCCAACCCTTGGTTTCTGAACCTCTATATTGGATGAGGGATAACTGACACTGCATTTCAGTCACTGTTTGAGATCACATATCACTTTCTGCAAGAAAGCATCCTAGTCTCACAGGTGCAGTCTCCTGGATACTGTTAGATCTGTTTTCAGAACAACATTTCATTGTTCTATAAGACCAGCTGCTTCTGGTGGATGGGAAATATGATAATGGCGCATGGCTTGCCAACTGTTTTATTTCTTTCACTTGGTTGGAGATCATTTTGTCTGCACCTCCCTGTGCTATGCAAAGTCAGTAATTTCAGGGATAGTGAAATAGTCAGAGGCATGACCTGTGGGAAAGAAAACCCAAATACAGAATAAATGTTTTTTCCAGAGCATTTAAATCTTTACTCCCTCTATGAGATCTGATAGAGTTGAACCTGACACTAGATTCCTGACAGGTTCCCAAGAAGCTAGGTGTTCTATTATGGCCTCAGGACTGTATCCAGCCTCCTACTTAATTCACTTCCTCTTTATATTAAGTAAGGCCAAAAATATTTCATTTGAGCACTGTCTTAGCTGTAGCTCACAGATTCTGATATGTCATGGTGTTTATTATTATTTTCCAAATATTCAGCATTTTGATTTGTATTTTTTTATTGACTCAACAGTTTCTTTTTAAAATGAACAATAAAAATTTTCAGGTGATCAGGACTTTTTTTCCCTTAGTTTTAATGTTAATGTCTAGTTGTATTACATAGTGATCAGAGAATGACATATGTATAATTTATATTTTTAAAAACTTAATGAGGCTTTCTTTGTAGCCTAATATGTAGCCAACTTGTGTGAGGTTTCTCTGAATATCTGAAACTCGGTTGTGTTTGATAATATCAGATCTACCTTATTAACTTATGCTATTGAGGTCATCCAACTTCTTACTCACTTATAGAGATTTTTATAATGGAAAGTCCCTCTTTTACCTTGCTATCCCAGAGAAAGAGACTCCCTCATGCAATGCCTTGCCTGTCTGATTGTCATACATGCCACCACCTCTTCTGCTTTTCAGAGCTAAACTAGGTCTAGGTAGTTTCTGCGTGCCCCTCTGCCTACTCAGTTCCCCCATCTCAAACATCTGAAACAGATCCTGAAATGGCTTTTGTGCTTCATGGTATGCCCCTCACCCTTGAGAAATGTGTTGTGCTGGCTCTTTTTGAGATCTGCAATAAAGGACCTATCAAATGTCCCAGCACAATTGAGAAAAACTTAGAACCTCACCAAGGCACATCCTTGTGAACTTTAGAATAGTGGAGATAAGCTATTTATATGTATTGTAAGTTTCTAAGGGGACAAATAAGTGATCCAAACTAGAATTTATACGCAACTCTGGAAAGTAGAAGGCAAAGGAGCAATGCATTAAAAATTCTGTAGAAAAATAATTTCTAATTTGCAATTCCTTATACAGCCAGCCTACAATTATCAGTTACTCTAGAATAAAG